CTTTAGGGTATGCCTTCCCTGGAGATCGCTCCAAGTCACACAATTATGGTGAGCTAGTCTGTGGCACTGCTACCATAAGTGGCACAGAACAGAGGAAATTTATTTTATTTTAGATCTACTTGTCAGCAAGCTGCCAAGTGTTTTTTATGTTTCCTTTTCATGCGCATTCCTTCCCTTGCGCTTAATTGCCTCTCTGCAGCAACGTGTATCTCTCAAGGCCGCTGGAGGAGTTGCTTTGGCTTTACCCGGGATGAGTCATGGGAAGCTCTTACCTGTTTTGCTTTATTAGCCGTTTGATCTTCTTCGTGGTCTCTGTGCTTCACACCAATGGGGATCTAGTGTGTCTGCGCTGGATCTGCAGATCCAGCGCAGGCGCACTAGATCCCATTGGTGTGAATGCACAGATGACCACTCGAAGATCACTAGTTACTGGTAAGCAACCTGTTTATCTTCTTTGTGGTTTCTGTGCTTCACACCAATGGGATCTAGTGTGCCTGCGCTGGATCTGCAGATCCAGCGCAGGCGCACTAGATCCCCATTGGTGTGAATGCACAGATGACCACTCGAAGATCACCAGTTACTGGTAAGCAACTTTTTCTCAAGCCTGATGCCCGCACGCGGGAACCTCGGTAATTGGGTATTGCTGATATGAATGTACTATAACCTTTCATGCGCATAGATTACCCGCCATTCCTAACAGTGTTCCTGTCAACGCATCTATAGCTTCAATAAAAGTAAAACCTTCTTATAAGTGTGTACTCCGTTGTTGCTGTGGGTCCTGACACTACTTTATTTATAGTCCGCCTTTCTCACAGGAACTCAGGGTCGATTACAAAGAGTGAGCCAGTACAATCATAAAAAATGGGACATTCAATAACCAAGGATTTTAGCAGTCTGGAGCCACCTTTCTTACACACCCAGGGAGATGCTGATTGCCAATTTGGGGCCAGGAAGCAATTTTTCTCCAGGCCAGTTTGGCTGGAGATCCTGGAAGTATTTTGTCTTCTGGGCATGGAACAGTGGTCACTGGGTGCGCGTGTGGGGAGGAGGCATTTGTGAATTTCCTGCCTTGTGCAAGGGGTTGGACTAGATGACCCTGGAGGTCCCTTCCAACTCTATGATTCCATGATTCTATGAAAGAACTGAAGCACAGCATAGGTATCCACATGACACATTAAGCGGTACAGAAATCGCATAAATAGGATCCTATTTGCAATTAGATAAACACAGCAGTACAGACCACAGTCCTTAACCATTTATCCAAGAAAGTTTGTAAAACCATTTTGTGCAGTGCAACCCTACTGGTGGTGGACAGTGCCGTCAAGTCACAGCTGACCTGTGGTGGCCCCATAGGGTTTTCAAGGCAAGAGGCATTCCGAGGTGGTTTGAACATAAGAACATAAGAGACGCCGTGCTGGATCAGGCCAGTGGCCCATCCAGTCCGACACTCTGTGCCACACAGTGGCCAAATCCCAGGGGCCATCAGGAAGGTCCACCAGTGGGGCCAGTTTGCCATCGACTGCCTCCACATCACAATCCTGGTATGCCTTGGAGGTCCCCCATCCAAATGCTAGCCAGGATTGGTCCTGCTTAGCTTCTGAGATCTGACAAGATCGGGCTAGCCTGTGCTATCCAGATCAGGGGCAGCCCTGTTACCCGTGCAGGAAATCCCTCTCAAATATTAGTTCAGTTTTCCATAGTTTGTGGAAGACCAGGAGAGTGAGAGCCTTCGTGACCTCATTGGGCAGCACATGACAAGAGCATAAAGCCCAATGACAAAGAGCATATGGTACAGGATCAAGCCTTGGATGCTGCCCAAAGATGCCAATATTTGTGAGCCGTTTCTGTCACCTGCCTCTTTTCCCCTGTCAGTTCAGTCCAGGACCCTGAAATAGACACCAGACATCTTTCTAGGTTGACCACAGTCAATTTCCGACATGGGAAGCAGAAAAGTAACATTTATACTTTATGTGTAAATATGTTCAAATGAATGAATCAGCTCCATTTCGTTCAGGGAGCCCGCAAACGTCAACATTTTTTTTTTCTGAGCAAAAGGGTGTGTGTGTGTGTTTTTTTTAATTTGGCTAAGAATTTATTTTTCTTCCATGTCCGCATAGCAGCTGGGAGGGGGAAAGGTGCAAGGAAGCTGTTAGGGCTTGATCATTTGGGAAATAATCCCCTGCCCCTTTCGACAAGATCTCCTTGTTCTGCCCAGGTTGTGAAAGTCTACAAAGGCTTTCCATCCACTTCTCTTCCATGTGAAGCAAGTCGCTTCTGGAACTGCACCTCTCCTGATCTTGATTTGCTGTGTTTTTCCATTTGCTGGGCAGTTCCTAAAATATTTTTGCTCACGTCCAGGCAGTGCCAGCTGGTTGCACAAAAACTGCGGGGGGGGCACAGAGTGGAGTGGCCAGAAACAGCCTTGATCAAAAAGCACACGGGCCTCTCTGCTTACTATTTACTGAATCAGTGGAGTGCATCCTGGAGAGGACAGGCCAGGAGAAAAATCAGTGACTTATAAACCCTGTGGGGGGTGGGGGTGGGAAAGAATCTGCCTTTCCAAGAAGCCAGAAATAGTGGAAGAGAAGTCAGTTACGCCCTTTTAGTTCCAAAGCATTGGGATTGCTTAAAGATGAAAAAAACAAAATAGTAGAAGTTCCTTTCGGGAGAAGTGGGGGGCAACTTCTTGTCGGGCGTATAGGATATGAAAGCCTTTAAATTCCACATTGTCCGCTTGTGCTCAGATCTGCTTCATACACCGTTGATCTTGAAAGGGAGACAGAGTTGGGGCGATTTCGCACTAGAGCTGCATCGCGGCGCAGCCCCGTTTGCCCCGACACAAACATGTTAATTTCGCACTCGACCCACGGCTTCGCCCAATTTCCTTCACAGTTTCGTGATCCTTAAAAACCAGGATAATGAAACTGCGGAGGAAATCGGGCGAAACCGCGAGTCAAAATGCAGCCCTGCAGCCTCGGGTGTGAAATTAACATGTTTGTGTCGGGGCAAACAGCGGCTGTGCCGCGAGGCAACTCTAGTGCAAAATCGCCCTTGGTGTTGATTTGTGCGGTACTGAAGGACCATAATTCTAAACGAAACTATTCTCACTGCAGAAAAAGCAACTACTGAAGCAGAGTTAGTACATGACAGCGTAAGAGAAGCCCATGTTGGATCAGGCCCATGGCCCATCCAGACCAACGCTCCGTGTCACACAGTGGCCAGAACACAGGTGCCAGTTGTTGCAGGGCCTGTTCTCGGGGCTGAGCTCCACTAGCAAGAGGCCAGCTCTGTGAAACCCCTTGCCCAATTAGTCTGGATCCATTCAAGGCGTTGGGGAGAAAACTGTCACCAAGCAATAGATTGTTTAAAACTCTTCCCAAATCATGGAAGAGAAGCTATGGGCAGAATTCCTTCAGTCCCACTAGCAGAAACGTAAGACCATTCCACCTCCCGACTGTCAATGGGTGCATTCGCACACATTAAGTAACGCACTTTCCATGCACTTTGCAACTGGATTTCACTGCATGAAATGTCAACATCCACTTGCAAACAGTTGCTGAAGTGGATTGAAACTGCATTATTTAGCATGTGTGAAAGTGCCCAGTGTTTCTCGGATACCATGAAAAGGTGGGTAGGTGTGTTTTGTTCTGCCCTCTCCTCCAGGGCTATTTTTGGGCAGGAACGCACAGGAACGGAGTTCCGGCTGGCTCCCAAGTTGGCCACGCCCAGCAGGAACTCATTAGCATAATAGGCCACACCCAACAGCAGAAACTCATTAGGATTGGCTACAGTAGGGGTGTGTGGCCTAACATGCAAAGGAGTTCCTGCTACAAAAAAAGGCCCTGGGTTTTGACAACAAGGTAAACAGAAATAACAAGCAAAAGGTGGGTGTGGCTGGATAACCACACTTCTGGTAACATGTGGGTGCGGCCTAATGTGCTAATAAGCTGTGCTGTCAGGGGTGTGGCCCAATATGCTAATAAGTTCCTGCTGTTGGGTGTGGCCTATTATGCTAATGAGTTCCTGCTGGGCTTTTTCTACAAAAAGAGCCCTGCGTCTCCTCTATGTCTTATGCATTGTGGGGGATGTTGTAAGAGAAAAGCCCAAGGTCAGAGCCATGGAGGAACACTTTCCACTGCGGAGCGGCTTCCTCTTTCTGCCCTGCTGCTTCTGCCAGAGAATCAGGAGCAGTGCCACCCTTCCTGTCTACGCACAAACACTGGCATCAGGTCTTCCCATTCATCAGCCCTCCAAGATGGCTGCCCTAGAGAGGTTTGCAACTAGTGTTGTCACGTCTCGGCAGGAAAATACAAGGTTATGGGAGGGTGGAACCTGAGGAAGGTGGAGTTTGAAGAGGGGAGGAACTTCAGTGGGCTATAATGCCATACAGTGCACCTTTGCATAATGGCTATTTTCTCCAGGTGAACTGATCTCTGTCATTATAAGCTACAGATTCTGAAATAAGTGATTAAAACGTGGCATTCGATGCCAGAGGATGTAGTGATGGCCACAGGAATAAACAGCTTTAAAAGGGGATTAGATAGATTCATGGAGGATAAGCCTATCAATGGCTACTAGCCATTGTGACTGAGGGGGAACCTCCACATCTAGAGGCACTAAACCTCTGAATCCGAGCACCAGGAGGCAACACCAGGAGAAAGCCTTGTCCTCTATGCCCTGTTGTTGGCCCTCCAGGGGAACTGGTTGACCACTGTTTGAGACAGGATACTGGACGTTGACCACTATTGGTCTGATCCAGCAGGGCTCTTCTTATGTTCTTATTAGTCCTTTGGTGGCAAATACAGCTAATCTCCTCTTTCTCCTCTGCTGAGAATACTTCGAAGCGGCTGTCATTTGGAATCAGCACTAGTGGGTGTTCCTGGCAGAGCTGTGGGATGGGAGATCAGGATACTTAATGGTTTAGAAAATTTAGATGCCCTGTCTCCAGACACCCCAGGTAAAGACCAGCGCTTTAAAAGTATGTCCCTCTTCTTTTGTAGGAGGAGACAGAGAACGGATGACAGCCAATCATGAGACGTACCTTCTTATGGCCAGCACACAGAATGACATGGAGGATTGGGTGAAATCTGTCCGCAGGGTTATATGGGCTCCTTTTGGAGGAGGTGAGTATGCTTGTGAAAAGTGTGAAAAGAGAGAGGAACTTAAAAAAAAAAACAACCTCCTTATATCTGTAGCTTATTTTGTTTTGTCAGATACCTCAATGAGAGTTTTAGCAATGAAATGGAGACATGAACTTGACTGGTTGCAATGGATTTGGAAAGGTGTACACTCTGCTCAGAATAGCACCGTAAGCTACTTCGATGGAATTGCTAGCATGGCCTGCCGAATATATTTTGAAGCATAACTTTCCAAACATACATTTCTCTGCCAGCCAGAAAACCATCCCCCCCACCCCGCATTTAATGTATTTAACAATTCCAGATTGCTGGTTGCCCTCAGTATCTTCTGTCTGCAATGGCAGGATTTTTTTTTAGAACTCTGTATAAACTTGTACAGTAAAATTATGAAATTCATTTCACAACTAGTAAAGCTGTCAGATATGAGGCGATGTTTTGACGCAAGGGGGAGACGCCACACTTCCGGAAGCAACGCCCTCCTGGAGCTGCTAGAGCTTGTCGACCTTCGAGGGTGGCTAGAGATCTCCCAGAATTACGACTGATTGTCAGGCTACAGAGATCAGTTCCCCTGAAGAAAATGGCTGTTTTGGAAGGTGGACTGTATGGCTTTATACCCCACTGAGGTCCCTCCCCTGCCCCAAATATGCTCTGCCCCAGGGTCGTTTCGTAAGGAATTTTCCACACCAGAGCTGGCAACCCCACGCTGCTATTTCCACTGAAACAAAGACAAGATGTTCATGTTCAAGTCTTTCTGGGCACCTCTTGAGAAAGGGCTGCAGTCTTACATTTTATGATCTTATCTCCTAGCTAAGAGCCAGTTGGGGCCAGGATAGGGATGCCAGCCTCCAGGTGGGGCCTGGGGATCCCCTGGAATTACAGCTCATCTCCAGACTACAGGGGTCAGTTCCCCTGGAGGAAATGGGTGCTTTTGAGGGTGGCCTCTATGGCATTGCACCCCACTGAAGTCCCTGTCCTCCCCAGGCTCTGTCATGTCCAGAAATTTTCCAACCTAAATCTGGCAACCCTATCCCTCATCACCCGCCAGTGGCCAGAGGGGACCTGGCAACCCTAGCCAGGATGAAATTTTTCCCAGTTCATAGTTTTCCCAATCCCTCTTTACCCAAAGAGGCAGCCTCCTAATTAATTGGGGAAATTAGCTTTTAAGGAGACAAAGCGAAAGGCGGGTAACTGGGATCTCCACCAATGTTTGCGGGGATTATGCTTTTAGAGAACTCTTGAAAATAAACCAGGCAGATGTTCACCTGGAAAGGTTCTTATTGAAAAAGTATAGAAAGGCAAAACACACTCAAACATACTTAAAAATACATAAACTAGCTAGGAGAAAATAAAGGGAGTAGCGAGGACAAAGTGGTTTCAGGAGAGGCAATACTTACCAATCGTGAAGAGTGAGGATGGCGGAGACAGCAGTGAAATGGCCAGCGTTTCTCGGAGAGAAGCCCACACACAAGTGGGAGTGTATGGTATGATGTCCAGAACACACACACCTGGCGCTATGTTGACATGTTTGCCTCCAAAGCAAGGGTCATTTCGTAGAAAAAGAGCTAGGGGAACTCATTAGCATAACTCATTAGCATATGCCACACCCCCTGACATCACCGGAAGTGTGTCATAAGGCCACACACCCCGCCCCCAACGGTCCCGGCCGCCACCACTGGCCTTGCAGCTCCACTGCCGAGCCCCATGAGGGGCCCGGCGGTGGACCTGCAAGGCCGGCGGGAGTGCAAGGAAGCCCCGCAAAGGCCCTCCCTGGCCCCAGGCAGGCAGGGGTGGGGAGAGGCAGGGAGGAAGCAACTTACCCTCCCTCTTTTCCTGCCTCCTCCTGGCTGAATGAGGGCCGGAAGCGGGGCGGCCGGAAGCAGGGGGCGGGGCTTCGTCATGTGCCCCGCCCCCCGGTACCTCACCCGGGGGAACTGTGTTCCCCCGCGATCCCCCCCGAAATGACCTCTGCTCCAAAGCAGTAACTTTTTTTCTGGAGATGGACAAAGGTTCCGGAGAGGCTTGATGTGTTTCTCAGAGGGTAGACTAAAGGTGTAAATGATCCGTGATGACCTGATGATTTCTGGATGGGAAACTACCAGGTTTGAAGAATAGGGTTAAGTGTTGGTATTTTAAGGTAAATGGGTCGGTGGGGGCGGAGCACAGCTGGAGTTGATGGAATTAGACCAAGGTGAGGTCAGACCTTCTTGGGAAACATATTGTCCTTAATTATTGTCCTTAATTAAACTATTGTTCTTAATTAATTATCCTTAGGCTGGGGAGAGAGTTGTTACTCAGCCAGCCAAAATGACTCACCTTCAAAAATAAAGAAATATTTTCCCAGACCTGTTTCTGGCTAGACTGGGCTAGTGTATATATATTTATGATTTCTGAGGTTTATATTTGCATAAGGGGTGTTTTGACCCTTCTCTCTGTGCACTAAACTGCCCCTCTGTAGGCAGCGGGGTCTGACTGCTAACATCTTTTCCTCTGGCCTAGAGACAATAAGCACAGAAGCCAAGAAACCTGAGTTTCTGGTTTGTCATCAGTAATGTGTTTTTCCCCCCCACTGGGAAACGAAGTGTCTGGCAGTTCAGTAGCAAGGTTTGTATTGTTTTTTCATAACCGAGATGGGCAGAGCTGCAGCTGAAAAACTATGTTTACTGTTAGAAAATCGTCCTTTCCACTTATCAATTAGACAGTAGGGGGGCCTGAAGAAAATTATCATTGTTAACGGGAACTCGAAAGGGAACACAAACACTCCCTGTACGCCATTTAAGTAAGTCAGGGAGGATTGGCTTAGGAAAGGAATTTTCAGCCCTTGGCCAGTGGTCTTATCCCGTGGCACAGTTTCACTTGGAAGCCTGCCCAGGACTACCTCGGATGCATCTGCAGCTGTGTCTTAAATGCTCTCAGGGAGGAAGACACCAGCTGAATGCAGTGTGAAACACGTTTGAAATGCATTCCACTTGTCTACTAGGAATCCGACGTCTGTGCAAATACCAGAGAAAGGCCCAAAGAGCTGTCCATTCGGGCTGCGGTGACCTATAATAGAGAGCTTAATAACTTCACTTCTCTCCAGAAGGTCAAATTTCTTCTGTATTTCTCATGGCCTTGGGAAGCCGCTCCTTCCCATTTTAGCGGGTAATGTGGCTCGTCTGTCGAGCTGTATGCTGTTAACAGCCAAATCCGCACATATTGGTTGGATCAGGCAGGGAGATCTTGCATTGGATCGGGGTGGGTTCTGCATTTGGGGGAGACCCTCAGCAAAATGTCTGCCGAGGAACCCCACCAATAAGCCCCACCCCATCCACACCTTTGTACTCTCTGTTTGGATTAGGATTGCCAGCAGAAAAAGGCAGGACTGAGTATGGAGCTGCCATTTCTGGGTGAAGAAATTTCTGGAGACTGGGGGGGCAGAGCCTGGGGAGGGTAAAGTTTAGGAAAGGGAAGGGGGCTCAGCAAGGACGCAATGCCTAGAGTTCACTCTCTGAAGCAGCCACTTCCTCCAGGGAAATTGATCTCTCTGGTCTGGAGATCAGTTGCAGGTCCAGGAGAACTCCAGGCCCTACCTGGAAGTTGACAACCCTGGGTGACTAGTGGGTTCCTCCCCCAAGTAAGAAGGCAGGCTTTGGCACTGTAACTACTGCCAACAGCCACCTACTGGTCCCTTGCAAGTAGGCTTTGGCACTGTAACTACTGCCAACAACCACCCACTGGCCCCTTGCAAGTGACAATAAGAACATAAGAGATGCCAATGTTTGGTCAGGCCAAAGGCCCATCCAGTCCAACACTCTGTATCACACAGTGGCCAGAAATACCAGTGCCATCAGGAGGTCCACCAGTGGGGCCAGGACATTAGAAGCCCTCCCCCTGTTGACCCCCCCCCCCCAAGCACCAAGATGACAGAGCATCACTTGCCCCAGAGCCCCTATCTATACCTTTTGGCTAATAGCCATTGATGGACCTCTGCTCCATATGCTTATCTAATTCCCTTTTGAAGCCGTCCATGCTTGTAGCCGCCACCACTTCCTGTGGCAGTGAATTCCATGTGTGAATCACTCTTTGGGTGAAGAAGTACTTCCTTTTATCCGTTGTAACCCGACCGCTCAGCAGTTTCATGGAGTGCCCACGTGTTCTTGGATTGTGAAGTTGGTGCTGCTTCCAGGAATGCAGTTGGGGAGGAAGACCTATGCCACCACTCAGGTGGGCGAGTACCCAGCAATGGCAGGATGCAGTGGACAGACTCCTCTCCACATTGGTGGTGGCTGGTGAGCCCAGTCCAGCTTAGTAGGGGTGGCGGCAACCACCTCTGTGTAGGGTTGCCAGCTCTGGGCTGGGAAATACCTGGAGATTTTGGGGGTGGAGCCTGAGGAGGGTGGGGTTTGGGGAGAGGAGGGACTTCAATAGGACACAGTGCCATTGAGACTACCCTCCAAAGCAGCCAGGGGAACTGATCTTGGTCATCTGGGGATCCACAGTAATAGCAGGAGATCTCCAGGTGCCTCCTGGAGGTTGGCAACCCTACTTCCATGGTTATGCAGCCATAAGGATGGCCACATCAGGGACAGTGGTGATCATGGGCCCACTCAGAGATGCTGGACCCTCACCAACTGCCTAAGGGTGCCAATCTGTGGAGCCAGTTCTGCATTGGATTTTCTGTCTCAGCACAGGAGGAGGAATTGCTTTCTCACTTTCTCTAGGTGGTGGTTTTACTAAAATCAGGACTTATCTGTTACACTCTTATCCCACCCTTAAGAAAATCAGGGCAGCCCACATGATTTCCCTCCTCCACCATTTATCCTCTCAATAACCTTGTGAGGTGAAACAGATTTTGAGTCCAGTGGCACCTTTATGCCCACGAGTTCTTGTATTGTGAAGTTGGTGCTGCTTCAAGGAATGCAGTTGGGGAGGCCTATGCCACCACTCAGGTGGGCGAGTACCCAGCAATGGCAGGATGCAGTGGACAGACTGTCCTCTACCCACCC